GCGCTGTGATGACGTCACATGCGCGCTTTCGTCGAGTGCGATTTTGTCCTCCGCAGTTTTGACGGGTCACGGTTAACCCCATCCCATAGGGAGACAACTTCAAAAAACATCATCAGGTTGGTATGCTGGACAGTTGGCCTTGGTGGCAAATCCTCCATCTGCACATGCACAGTAGATGGTGTGAACACTCCCTTTTCACAGTCACTCCTGCACTGAATACTTTCCCACCCAAATACCATGCACCTTGTCCTCATTTCAATGACAGCTGAAAGCAAGCAGCAAAACAGAGGCTGACAGGACGGCTGCTTGTCTTAAATGGTATATTATAGGGTCTCCTAGTCTGAGCAGGGGGTTGGAATAGAAGACCTCCAAGGTCCCTCCCAGCTCTATTCTGATTCTGATTCTGATTCTGTTTTCCAAAGCGTCAGAAAGCAAGACAAGAAGCAACGGGGGGGGGGGGGACTAATCATGGAGAGAAGCATTCTAGAACCAAGGAGAAACTGCCTAACAGTGAGGACAATCAACCAGTAGAACAGTTTTGCCTTCAGAAGTTATGGGTGCTTCATCACTGGAGGCGTTTTAAGAAGAGACTGGGTAGACACTTGCCTCAATTGGTATAGGGTCTCCTGCTTGAGCAGGGGCTGGACTAGAAGACCTCTTAAGATTCCTTCTAGCTCTATTCTGATTGATTGATACAAAATCCAGGTCCCTCAGGGCAGATTTCCCCAAGATAGAAACAAGCCGGAATTAACCTCCCTGTTGTCATTTTCAGGTGATGTGGTCTTTCGAGGACTTGATGTTGAACCCTACCCGGCCACCACCTGTCCAGTATTCTGTCATGACACAGGTCCATTACCCCACAGTGGCATTGCCCATGCAGTACCCACCCTTGGCACCACAGTCCCAGTACCCTGCCATCGGACAGCCGGCCCCCCATCCCATTGTGGCGGAGCGAATGCCAACCCACGCTCGGCAGAGGACGCTCGGCAGGAAGTCCGCGGCAGACGATGGCGCCACCCTCCGCCCTTACGGTAAGCTGATCTTCCAGAGGAGACAGAGCTCCCTCTACTGGTGGGACTCTACTTTCCATAACTTCCCTCAGGTGATGTGTGCCGTCTGAGAGTCTTGGGGTTGGAGCTCCATCTTTCCAAAGAACAGCAGGAATGTTTAAAACAGGAAAATTAATCTTTTGGAGTCTTTGAATGGATCTAGTTCTCATTCGGTCTTTAAAAATTAGCTTTTTAAGAAGTGGTTTTCTATCTTGGCTGTAAAAGGGAAGAAACCACTGCAGGTAATCTTCGACTTAACAACAGTTCCGTTTGATGACCATTCAAAATTATAACAGCACTGAAAAAAAATGATTTCTGACCGGTTTTCACACTTAATGACTGTTGTAGCCTCCCCATGCTCACATGATCAAAATTCAGACACTTGGCAACTGACTCACATTTCTGACGGTTGCAGTGTCCCGGGATCACACCTTCTGACAAGCAGAGTCAATGGGGAAGCCAGATTCATTTCACGACAGTTTGACCAATTGAACAACTGTAGCGATCCACTTCACCACTGAGGCCAGAAAAGTCATAAAATGGGACCAACTCGCTTAACAGATGTTTCACTCAGCACTCAGTTTGGGCTCTACTGCGGTCATTAAGTCGAGAACTAGCTGTAAGTCCACGTTCAGTAGGAAAGCACCCCTACGAAGATTACTGGTTGCTTTCTGGGAAGAGGTGATTCATGCAATTTTCTTACATCCTCAGCGTGAAATCGTGAAAAATCTTATGCAGGAATGCCATTTCCTCATTTTTGTTGCTTAACATCCTACTCGTGAAGATTCACAGGTTCTTTCCCACCTTTTGACCCCGTTAAAATAATCAGCGGTCAAGTGAGGCCTCTCTCCAATGTACCATTCTTTTTCTGTGTTTCAAGGAAGCTTTTCTCTCCCTCCCTCGCTCATTTTTTTTGGGGGGGGGGTGTCTGTTGGCTATACCTACAACAACATGTCCCAAAGGTGCTTTTTCCAGAGGCAATTCGACCTTCTGGTTTTTCTTTGAAGATGTTTCACTTCTCACCCTCAGAGCTGGCCGGGGTCCTTCGGGAGTGGGCGGCATACAAAACTAATAAACAACAAGAAGCTTCTTGGATGAGAATCGAAACATCTTTAGAGAAAAAGTTGCCTCTTGAAAAAAACAGCACCTTTGGGATATCGACACTAGGTGTTTTTGAGCTCCTTGGAAGGTGAACCACCCCACAGCAGGCATCTCCCAAGAGGTCCCAGTGTTCGGCTTTTGAACTACACAATCCAACATTGCTTTATTTTTTAAATAATTTTTTAGGGTGTGGGACGTGATGGCTCAGTGACTAAGATGCAGAGCTTGTTGATCAGAAAGGTCAGCAGCTGGACGGTTCAAATCCCTCGCGCCGCGTAACGGAATGAGCTCCTGTGACTTGTCCCAGTTTCTGCCAACCTAGCAATTCAAAAGCATGTAAAAATTCAAGTAGAAAAATAGGGACCACCTTTGGTGGGGAAGGTAGCAACGTTCCCTGCTCCTCCGGCATTTAGTCATGCCGGCCACATGACCATGGAGACGTCTTTGGACAGCACTGGCTCTTCGGCTTTGAAACGGAGATGAGCATCAGCCCCCTAGAGTGGGGAACGACTAGCACATACACCATATTGCCAAAAGTATTTGCTCACCTGCCTTTTCTCGCATATGAACTTACTGTAAGTGACATCCCATTCCT